CAACATAGGCTCCACGAGCCTTGAGGAACAAATGGAGTATGAATCTATTGTCGGTCAACAGCTACTACAGGATTTTGTTTCCTGACAAGTGTATTACAGTTGTAGGTGAAAAGTACACGTAGTGTATTTGAGTGTGCTTTTTTGTGACTGTCCCAAGGACCTTTCTATGATGTATAAATAAACGCAATTTGTGTGCTTGATTGCATTGTGCTTGCTGTGTGTTCGTAGAATATACTTTCTACGCTTATCAAGACTTCTCTTTAGACGTTTCAGATGAGGGTAGACTACCTGGACGTTGGTTCATTGTCTCGTTTGCGTTTATCGACTAAGGTGGACTCGTAATAGCTTCAAGTGTATTTAGTGACGAACGTAACATTACTATACAAAATTCGAAGAATATGAGTATATATTGTAATAAAGTGTCCTGAGGAATACGATTCAATCGTAGTTTGAAAGTACTTTAAAACATCATATATGTACATGTGGTTAGCAAACATGACGTTCGGAAAGATGGTAATCCAGTTGTTGAATTAGCCAATAATTCCTATCAATGTGTCATGCAAGTATGTCATCAAACTGGAATGAATTCATCAAAGGTTACGTAAGCATTTAAAAAAAACACTGAGGAGACATAGAATAACCGTTTCATCCTCAAGTAGGACTCATCAACAGTCCATATTTATGAATGTCAAATAAAATTGGAAGACTACTGACATCATTTACAAGATTTTAAACATGTACATTGTAAATTTGTTGATTTAAACAATACTGATGTGTTGATTTTCAATTTTGGCATTTTATGTGAACGGATGTTTTGATTTTGATTGGATTTATTTATTATATATATTTTGAACATTGATATTTTATTTTTTTTAAAAATAAGTGTTTTTATTCATCTGTATTCTGTGACTAATTCAATATGTATTTTGTTTTATTCAAACGGATATGAAAGTAAACAGTTAACTGAGGGGACTAATGTAATGGAGTATTATTATTATTATTATTATTATTATTATTATTATTAATGTATACTTAGTCTTATTGTCTAATGACTAAGTAACTAGATTATCAAGAATATCACAAACTTTCTATAAACCTATCAATTATTAGCATACAATTCACTACTTCGATTTTCTTGAAAGTTTATTATTTACAGTCTCGTTTAATCACTTCTAGATTTGGTTTCTTTTATTGGTGTCAATGTGGTGTGGTTTTGTGTGTATATAAATGAATGTCTGAGATATGATAATGATTTTGAATCTTGAATCAGCTATTATTAGCCTTATTGTGTTCTTCTGCCACGTTCAGAGCCAAGTTAGTATTGGGTCGAAACCGTTAGGTATGAAATATCGGCTATCTTGTCATTGTTGTGTATTGGCTGTCCAAAGGTCATTAATAACGACCTACTCAAACTTCTCGATTACCATCTCTTTAAAAGTATATCTATCGATATAAACTTTCATGGTTCAGAATTCTCCTAATCAGCTATATCCGTTTGTTAACCACATGTACATACAGGATGGTGTAAAGTATTTCCAACCTACCACAAATTTAATCATTAAGAAACTCAAGTAACACATACAAGGTAGTGTGTATATCCTTCACTCCTATGTATCATGCCTTAACGTTTTTTTGTATCCACGTCACTCTATTACGTATACTTGTAAATGAGGAAACAGAGTGCACAGTAAAGACATAAAAGATTGGTCATATAAAAGGTCGATCAGAAGTGGCTAAATCATAAGGCCACCCGGTGACCGACGCAAAATGTCTTGTAGAAAATGTGATATGAATATATACGAGTATTTGTACATATGATTCGGTAGCCAAATAGAATTTCTCCTCTACTCCTGCCTTCTTGCTTAAATAGCCTAATTCAGAGGGTTGGCACTTGTCGTGATCAGATCTCGGGCACCTGCACATGATAACAATTGGTTTAAGTGAGCATGCAGTTACTTGAAAACACAACGACAACTCTAGCCTAAAATACCTTCATTTATATAAACATTGATTTGTACACCGGATTGATTATTACTTAAAAAGTCCGATATATGTAACTAAAATAAAATTGAACTGTGTGTTGGTTCTTTTAAATATAATGTGAACAATATCATAGGCAATTTGTTATACTCCAAATAAACTAAATATTTATCATTTGATAGGGTCGTAAAGTTTGTTGAGTTTCATTAAAACCATGAGTCGATCAGTGTTAGATCACCGCCACTGGAAATCTGGAAGCACTGGATAGCCGTTACGTCCCAGTTTAAGTAGGACTCCTCATTTGTGCACATCCACGATCCCATAGGCAGGTATTGGGCCCGATAATTTCGGTTTTGCGCATCAACATTCATCGATTGGTATCAATCACAATATGATCAATAATGCCTTTCATTGCTACAGAATTCCTGAAATTACCATGAGAAGACGTAACTAATGGATTCGAATAGTTTCTGGTGTTAGATAGACTCCTAACGATGACAGTGGATGAATCGCCCAGTTTCGTGGATTGATTTAGACGTATATGCCATTGGATACAGGCTCAGTAGTCAAGAATTTAAGAGTTTGCTCACGAAGCCGAACAATCCGGACACGACTCCTGCTTGCTTGATCGTGGATGTGCACTAATGATGAGTAACACAGTAGAACGAAATAGCTTTTCAAAGCTTCCAGGTTCCTAATGATAGCCTAATATGGATCAATTCATAATTTCAATGAAAACGGATGTTATTCGAAACAACTGTCACATTGAATTTAAAAGAAGGGAAGTAATATTCAGGAACAAGGTTATCGATTGAGGAAAATAACGTGATATTTACTTTCTGATTCTATCTAATTATAAATTATACATCAACACCTTAGAAAATGGAAAGAGGTGTCACGAAGGCTAGCATACTTATTTAATTACTTACTCACGCCTGTTAACTATCTTTCTCCTAACATAGGCCTTTAACTATCATTCTACGACTAACTCTGTACTGAGATCTGCCTTACAAGGCGCTATGCATTCGCTCCTATCTCCTATACTCGACACAATGTGTTCTTTGGTCTGTCTCTCTATCTTTCAACATCAACACCACAAGTTAGGGCTTGCCTCATGATACAGTTTAGTGATCATTACTATGTGTAATTCATCTAGATAGGGCGCTTCTTCCCAATTACTTTTTTTTTATCTCGAATCTGATTTCTACTCTACAGCGCTAGGTAGTTGCTGAGTGTCCGGTCAAAGGATCAGGATCTGGGCTTTGCATAGACCACTGTTTGTAAACACTATCCTGTAGTCTTTTAAGTTTCTGCTCCATGCAATAGAACTATCTTGACATTTGTGTTGAAAATTGTGGATTTGATATTGGGAGTTCTAGATGTTCTTCGATTCTAGAAATGTTATTCTTGATTTAATAATCCGTGCCTTTGTATCTGCATCGGGTCCCCATTCTTTTTAAATGATGGCTTGCAGGTATGCGTTGGTTTCCATATCTTCCAGAACTCCACCATCAGGTGTAATTTGGTTACTACTTACTGTGTCGTATCGGAGGATCTTACTGTCTATCTTGTTCATGTTTGGGTCCTTTGCTGTTGCTTGCGAGGCAGCTGTCACACTGTCCGTCTTCAGCCGCACTTATTGATGTGTATGGGGAAGAGAAGCTACGTGCAAATCGTCTAGCTGCAACTGAGCCGTTCACTGGATTCCTTACTTCACCTAAGATGTGCAAGTGTTCATAATGCAGTCAACCACCAGAAGAAAGAGAAAGCGTGAGAATGATAGGCACTGTTTGATATCGATCTTCACTTGGAAGGAGTCTGTGAGCTGGTCTCTATGCATGGTTTTACAGTTTCATTCTGTATGACGTTTACCGTTTTCTCAGGTATATAGTGGTGTCGAAGAAGCCAGTTTCACGGGTATGAGGGCGGTTGTCACTTACCGGCTGCCCACACCGTGAAAGGGTATTTCTTGAGGAACCTGAAAAGGAAGATAGATTAGTGTTGGTCTTGGAGACCTGGGTGCATGACCGCAGAGTCCAAAGGACAACTGCTTGGGGCTGGTCACACACGGCCTTTTTATGGAAGGTTTTTTGAGTATTAGCTCCGCTCTTAAAAGCCCTTAGTGGGCACCCTTACCGCCGAAGACGGAAATTTGTGAAGTAGGGTGAGGTGTGAAAACTTTAGGGCCGACCTTTTTTAACCCTTCCTTCCTTGTGAGAAGGCAGCATCGCTGCAAATGCTGGTTTTTCGAGGGAAACACCTTACTGCTATTATACCCCTCTACAGTCAGCAGTACGTTTTCGCCCTCAGACCTTGAGTAGCTGCTTTTAGTCTGATTGTTCTCTAATCGGAGTTCCTGGCATGGTAGAACCTTCAGGAACATATTTTCCAACCAATACAGCTCCTTTGGGTCATCACAATAGGCAAGCCCGACCACCACGTCAAAGTAGCAGCTACGGTCGAGTTCTGTTTAAATTAATGCTCAGCGACGATTTATAGTGTTGCGATTTGGTTAGTACACGATAGATCCTTGCGAAGGTTGTCACAACTGACAGTTAATAAATATGGATGAATGAAAATGGCTGTTGATAAAATCCCCATCTTTCAATGTCACCACTACCTGAGATATCATAAACACGCGTGAATTGAACAGCAACAGATATTATATAACACTTGAACAATTGACATAAATTGAACAGTAAATTGTAATCTACATTACGTAATGTAATTAATTACCAGTCAAAATTACCGATAAATAGAATTTGAACAACACAATAAAAGTTCATTAGAACTATTCAAGACTATGACACTTAGCCTTTATATGTCAGGACATTTGAAATTTTCTTAACAATGATCTCAATTCATGATTTCAATTAAAGTTGTTTTTTATCAACAATTGAACAATGAAACGTGTCTTTTGTTTTAATTTTCACAATCACATTTTTTTTCTCTAAACAACTACTGAATATATATAGATTTCATTGTTAAAATTAATAATCAAACTAGATTGATTAACTTACATTTAAAATATTATCTTTATCTATAATTATTTCTTCTAATTTTGTTTTATTTTCTCTTAAAATAGAATTTCTGAAAAGAAAATTTATTAAGAAAAGAAAAATAAAAACAAGCAATGAGTAATAATAATAATTATTTTTTTTTTTTAAAAAAAAAAACTAAATTTAGAGAAAAAAAATAAATTAAGGACAAATTATTTTGTTTTGTTTTTTTCTTTTCAAGATAAAGTAAAAAAAAAACTTTAATTAATAAGAAAATTATGAATATTGGAATGTTAGATTTGTTACTAAAATTAGTAGCTATGAAATAGTCCAAGTTAGAATCTTGAACTTCTAATTTATCGTGTATGCTATCTAATGCACAAATGAATTTATTTTAAAGAATCCAGAATATTTTTTATTGTCAATATTCAGGACCAAGGTTACATTGAATAACGTAACTCACAACTCAACATCTTACTCTTCCTGGACTATGAGGAAACATTCAACTGTGTGGAAAGGATGATGTTATAGAGGTATTTTTGACTCTGTATTGTACACACGAAAACATTGTCTACATCATGTGAAAACCGAAAGATCAACTGCACTGTAAGAATTATGTATGGAGGATAGCTCAAAGACTTTGCAGATCACTTAATTGTTCTTCTCCACACACACACACAACAAGGAGTGGAGATGAGGAGGGATAGTGTAGCAGCTGTCTCACCACCAGCAGCAACACACGCATGTTACTTTCAGGGCTGAATTTATCCGCATCTTAGTGTTGGTATTTACAAACACTTAACCTGTTATCCGATGAGTGACTTACTCAGTTCAAATAGCTAGTAGTTTGTTCAATGGATATGAATTAATTTCATCTTTTATTTACTGAATACTCAATAATTTTCAAGAAAATTATCTTTTCAAATTATTCTAGTTACTTAGTAGTTTTTATAACCAACGAATAATTAAATTTATAAATACATATAGAAGAGCTCGAACTAAAGAGGTCTTTCAAAATTTACACATTAACATCAAAAAAAATCACGGGTAACTCTAAAAGATAAATAAGACTGTAATTTAGTAATTCAGTATTTAAAACAATCCGAGATTCCCTACTACAGTACCTTTCATTTTAAACAATGTGTATGCCTTGTTACGAATTTGAAATCTGTCAAGTTTGTAACTGATAAATAAACTTTCTACACGTAAGTTCAATCAGTTCGGTGAAGTAGAAATACCACGATTGAACGAACATAAAGCATTTATTGACTAAATTAAATTTAGTATAAATCTACATATTCATTTCCCTCAGAAAATATAGTTTTATTTTCAACCAATAGTATAGAACTATTTGCCCAGAAAATCAAGTCAAATTTTAACCAATAACATCATTTTAACATAACATCATTTGCATTTTGCTAATATCTGATTGGATTAGAATATACTACTAGTGTAACTGACTCATTTTTTTACAACAAAATATGATTTCAAGTCAATGTAACATCAAGGAAAATCAATACATAGAAAATGACTTGAAATTAAATAAAACTAAAGAAAAATCTATTCATTCGTTAATAATTTATCTAACAATTTTGTGTGAAGATTTTTAATAAAATAAACCAAACTTAACGAATACAATCAATAAATCAATGAGAATTTCTTTACTCTGCTTACTCATTCATCACTTGGCATAATAATTGTTCCGTTTGGTTCATTGATTTTTCATGATGATGAATATTGATTAATGAATTATCAAAAGTATCATTGTCTTGTTCGAATTGATTGAATTTTTCAATTGAATTTGTGATTTCGTTATTAATATTTGACGAGATATTTGTCACCTAAGAAAGTGAGAATTTGTTTTGATGATGAAGTTGTAAAGATTGTTTCGTTACTCTGAAATCATGAATCGATTCCTTTGAGGAGCAGGAGTCTTGGATATGCATACCAAGAAGAAATGGAGGTCCAGTGCTTCCAGATTTCCAATGGTGGTCTAACACTGACTATTTATATGCAAGTAGTAATAACAGTAAAACTCAACAACATCCACAACTCTAAAATGGAAATTGTCATTTGCACACTAATGACAAACTCCATGAGGGACATTTCATAGTTCCAGTAAGAAGTCATCACCAATGAGGTTCAGTGGTGTTGAATGTGAGACAGTCATCCACTGAAGACAATGGCTGATGATAATGAAATATGAAGGACTGATTGAAGCTAGACACTAACACTATTTAATTCTAACTTCATGTTTAAGTGGTTGAGCGATTGCGTGCGAGAATGAAGGTCCTGGGTTTGCACTGCTAATGAGTCTCATACTAAGAAATAATGGCTGCTCAAAGCTTCTAGATTTTAAACGTTGTTCTAACAATGACAGATTCATCATTTCAGTGAAATGCAACAATTTTTAAAACCTTGTGCTAGTGAGAATAAACGAACAGGGGAGAATATTAAACATCTTTTTATTTAGAGTAAGAAATTCTTCAGTGACACGCACTAATGACACCAATAAAGCTCAAATCCAAACGTCTTCGTTGTCTTTTTGGACAACTTCTATCAGATTTTCTCACTAGTGTTATCCAGAGAGACAGTAAAATCTTCACAGCTCAGAAAACAAAACTCTACTGAAATCATCCTTCTGAGTAAGAAGAAATCTTCTTCATACGCTAATTCTTTGTCTTGGTTTATCGTCGTCAGATTTCTTATAACCTAATCCTATCGCAACAGTGGTCAAGTATAAGTAACACATGCTTTTATCTACCGCAGTTAAAAAAAAAAGATTTACTACTTTGCCAATTGATTAGTCATTTTTGATTTGGACCCCGCTTCTAACTTTACCACTGCTCACTCGGTGGTCTCAATAAATACGAACAATAATTGAACAGCATTAATCTCTCTTGATATCGGTCTAATCTTTCTACTGATATAAGTGTTTTAGTGTTAAAATGATTCACCTAAAAAGCGTAGAATTTCAATGAATAATTATGAAAATATTTTCATTTTATTCAGAAACAACGAATACATTATTTTGATTCTAGTATAATTAAGGTGATCAACCGAATAACCAATAATCACAAAATTATGAAATGCTCACTATTAGATATATAGGATTTATAATTAACGAGTAACTAGCTTCTTGATATTTGGCTATTTTTTCAGGTAACAATATTTCATGATAGGAAATGATTTCATGGATTCATATTACAAAAAGAGTTAATTAAGTCTGAAGTCATCCTAGAGGTACCGCCTGTCCCAAACCCGAATAAACGAGGAGGCTTGAGCATGGAGTCAGCAACCCCATGTCATAAATAATTGATTTGCTAAAAACGCAGGACCAAATAATTCAAACTATTTAAATTCTGACATAAGAGTTGATAGGTTGTCGATTCGAAGAAATATCACACCTCATGATAAAAAGCCGGAAGTCACGGGGTAGATATCACTTCTAACCATCACAGCAACAATTATTATAGGTAAATGGAAAGTTCACAAACTATGGAGGAGTCATTCAAGTAGCTGGTTCTTGGAATCAGTGGAATAGATTGGATGCAGGCTAAACAAAAATTATTAGCTTCAGGAGAGAGATACTGATCTACTCAGAACATGATGAAGAACATGCCTCATACATACAACCAGTTGTACTGATGCTGTCCAAAGAAACACTAATAGGATGGGAATTTCACGGACCATCGATCATCAAGGCATCTTTTAAAACAAAGAAAGAGACCATTATAATCAACATCATTCAATGCTGTGCGCCTACCAGTGATTACCAAGCGATATGGGTTTCACAGGATCACACCACACTGAACCAAATCGATTATATCTGCATCAATAAAAAGGTCGGAAGGACGATGGAGGACGTGAGAGCGAAGAGACGAGCTGAAACAGCCCCAGATAATCAATTACTAGTCTTCAAGATAAAACTGAAACTCAAGAAGCACTAGACGACGGCGTGGACAACATCGCAAAAGTTTGTTGCGGCCTTTCTTCGGGATACTGGCAAACTCAACAAATTCAAGATAGATCTCAACAATAAGTTCGAAGCCTTTCACGATCTACTAAATGAAAAGGGAAAACTACCATGGAGAAAAACTAGTAAGGGATCAAAGAAACAATAACTTCGGTATGTCATGAGGTTTCAGGTAACAAGAAAGAAGGCTAAGTAATCATCGACATTGAAGAACAGTTAAACAGATAAGTAGAGCGTTTTGAAGAACTATTGAATAGACCAGTCCTAGTAGTTATATAATAATATACACTTACTGAATTATTGTCCATTTCTTCCTATAAATTTAAAAATGAAAAAAAAACAGGATGTAAGATACCGTCAATGTTATAATTGATACATTGAATATTGTTATCAACGGCAAAAAAAGGCATTAAAAGGTTCAGTGTTTGTTTTCTTATTCTTGAAAATAAGTTTGTATTATCAAGTAAAAATTACACACTTTAATAAAACAAGCTAATAAACACGTAGTTTAGGATTTATACATTAAATACAAGGGATGTATCCAAATTACGAAACGACCAATGTTAGACTACTATTAGAAACCTGGAGGCATTGCACGGCAGTTTCGTCCAAGTATAAGACTCATCAACAATGCACATCAACGACTCCTGCTACTCGTAGGAATCGAACCCAGGACCTGTATAATGGCGCGCAAACGCTTAGCATCTAGACCATTGAGCTGGTCGGCATCTAACGATGTTATTATCTAACTCTGATCAACCTCGCTCATTGTCTTCGATAGCTACTGCCTACACCTGACAAGGTCGTACTCCACTGATCACAGCTTCTCACTAGAACTTCGAAAATTTCTTCATGAAACCAATCACTTGTGAGCATGTGTCATTTAGCTTAATTCAAGAAAAATATTTCAGAATTACAAAGTATATAATTCTCTATTAAACTAATTAACATTTGATCTGTGAAACATTAAACTAGCGACTTCACAGTTGAATAAAATCTTTCTACTGAAGTTAGTTACAAGTCACTATAGAGTAAAAATATCATTCTCATGATAAAATAGTTTTTTTCACTTAACTATTACCAACGAGGATTTAGTCGATTGAAGGGCGAAATACAGATGAAATGGATTCATTCCAGTCTACAAATGACATATAATGCCATCTTAAGAAAGAAATGATTAACAGTGTTTAATTGTACAATGAATTATTGATTAACTGATGATAAATACTACTCTATTGAATTTATACGATTTTGAATTTAGTCAGACTATACATAAATTTTATATTAAGTATCATTTTGAATTATTTTCAATCTCAAATAAATCTTCGTCTATCATTCATTGAAATCTTGAACCGATTTAATTTAGATTATCATTGGAAACCTAAAAGAACTGGATGGCTGTTTTGTCATAGTTTGAAACTCTTCAGCAATGTGCAACCACAGCTGCACATGCATGAATCAAAGCCAGGATATAAAAATCTAAGTTCATGGCTTTTTTTTCGAATAGACACCAAGTCAGTTAGTTAACTGTTCAGCCGACATGATCAAATGAAAGTAAGTAAGTTTTTTACCCAGGTTCATTTCATTAAAATGGATCGTAGTTTTCAAAAATTACATAGCACTTCAGATATATATTTCTTTCAACAACCTATAGTTTTCATGATACTGAAATAAAAATTTCCGCGAGAGGGGATTGTAGATGCGTACCACTGAGGAGTCTCATACTAAGACGAAACGGCCGTCTAGTTAGTCCAGGTTTCTAATGATGGTCTAACAATGATCGGTTCATGACTTCAATTAAAAACAACAATCTCCATAACTCTATAATGCTCACTAGCGACTAGCTTCGTGAAGAAATCGAGATGAGAAGCCGCAAATGATAGAGTTAGGGTTACTTATCAAAGACAATAGGTGAAGTGGAGCAATAACAGGGATTAATTAAATTTACCCCTTTAGATAAGGGCTCAGTGGTTTAGAGGTTAGGCGTTCCTGCTCGAGACCGAAAGTACCGGGTTCAATTCCGGCGAGCGGAGACAGTGGTCGCACGCAGCTGAGAAGTCTCATAGTAGGACGAAACAAGCCTCCAAGTTTCTTATGGTGATTTAACAACGATCGATTTATGATTTCAATAAAATTAGAAGCTTGGAATGAATTAACATGACGTTTTGTTCAATTCAAGTTTTTTTTTAATCTGTTAACACTGGTCAATAAGAATTATCTACTATCTTGAAAAAACTGACAGTTATTGTATCATTCAAAGCTGACCGATTTTCTATCAGAGTAATGATATTTTTAATAATTGACCGTTGAACATTAAGTGATATTCTATGTATTTAACTTTGAGTTCCAATTGAATTCTATTTAATAAAATGTTAGACAAGTCCAGTGTATTAATCTAAACAATGATGAATCAAATTAGAAACCTTTGAGGAAAGACAAGATTTTTAAAGAGGAACTGACAAAAGATAATGGTAAATAAAGAAATTCATGAAAATGTTAAGGAGTCATGAGAGAAAAGTAATCTTTGACTAAATCAGTGGCTACATTACATCAGAAGTATGTAACATCAACTACAACGCAATGATCTTGTTTGGTTAGCTGCTGATTTAATTGAAATGTTAGACTGATTTTAAGTTAGATGATCATCAAAAACCTAGATGCACTGGATAGTTGTTTCGTTTTTGTTTGAGATTCTTCAGTAGTGTGCAACCATAGCTTCACATGCGTGGGGACTGAAGCCAGGGCATGAACACTGTTGGATATCTAGTCGGTAGTCAAGAGGTTAAGTGTTCGTATGCGAGACCAGAGCTCTCGGGTTCGAAGTCATGAAAGCCCAATATTGAGGAGTCTCGCGTCAGTGCTTTCAAGTTCTCAATGATTTAATGAAATTTAGCAATCTCAACAACTTTATACTTATAACTACTAATTACCGTACCATAAGTTCCAACCTCATTTTTTACAATTCAAACTGGGAATTATGAATTATTTGATGATGTACAAATTTTCTGACTGAAAAAGACTCATCTAACAAGCTATAAAATCATCTTAAAGTTTTCTACTTTAGATAATGTAATTATCCTGTTAGCCGTCTAATATTATACAGTAATGATCACCAATGGTCATAATGAACTACAATCGTTTATACCTACTAACTGATATATATATATATATATATATATATATATATATATATATATCCTTCTCAGTGCTGATCAAATCTCAATGTATCCACTAGTCTAGGTGTTTTAACAAAGCATGCGGTGAGTTGAACTGTAAGGGGTGTTAAATGAAGGTAATCGATATGACACCCTAGTCCTTGCTATTTAGCATTCGCCAGCAAGATGCATTTGTATTATTGAAAGAACTGATACTTCTAGTGATAACATTGGCTGTGAAGCTGAATGATATGGGATCGAACCTTTCAAAAAGGTTCTATACACTTAAGGTATCTATAAATCTTAATTTCCTAGTTTTCCTATTGATTACCTTGTAGTGTGCCGATAACTGCGTGTTCTTATAGCTCGATTTATAAATCAGAAGATTAACTCCAAGTATCGTATACATTTATTCGAGGCACACCACATACAGACTGAGCAGATACACTAGCGAGCGAATATGCGAATGAGCGAAGAGGAGAAGCGAATGGGAGAAGGCTGTTGAGCCAACTCAAAGAGATAGAGTATGACTAAGAATATATAGTCAGATAAAAATAAGACAGACATATGACAAGCGAAATAGATATGCACACACATGAATAAAAGCGACGAATGATTGACAAGGTCAAATGCAAGCGATACAAATCATGTGAGTTCATGGGAAAATTAAGCGATTAACATTAAAGCGAAAAGGATGAGTAAGTGCGTAAGCAATGCTCAGTCGTATAAGCTCATAAAAAGCAGATAATAAAAAATAACAATGGTAAATATGAGTTGTTGCTATACAAATGGCTTGGTTAAATAAATTAATCGAAAGGCTTAACCAAGTTAGATGTGAGAGAAGTGAAATATATGTGGAGGCACTACAACCTCCAATCACAATATATAGGTCAAATCCTGTAACAATAGCAAAATGTTCATTTCACCATTGAAAGTGTACACAATCTGTTTGACCTTATTAATTATTATTATTATTATTATTATTATTATTATTATTATTATTAATGTCATTTGTGCATGCTGTTATTGTCACATCAACATTTTAATCAATCATTCATGATATAAAAAAATAATTCAGTGTAACATTCAAAGAGGAAGGATTTATAATTAAAGTCAGTAGGTCTATTTAAAGAAGTATGTCATGTGATCAGTTTAATCGATGTTAAATCATTGTAACTGACTATCTATTGACTATTATTTTGCATCAACTAATGCATAGATTAACAATACATAAGTTGTATGTTAAAGAGATAAGTGAGAAAAATCTATGCATTGGATATGAATCTTATTGAGATTATTAATTTTTGAGTGATATATAAGCGGTAATCTATGTGTTAGGCCGATTGAATTTCAATTAGGATTAGCTGTAAAATATGAAATATGGGTTTCATTCTACTTAAAAATATTATTAACTAGATACAGTTGAATGAATATATTGAATTACATATCTAGTACTTATTAACGCAAAATATCGAATTTTTGTCTATCAAGCTGCTGAAAACAACTAAATTTAGTAGTCTAGGAATCTTCCCTTTCTGTATATCATTCTTAGGCGAACCCTGTTTGTACGATGACAGTAATTAAAATCCTAATATCCCTCCTCTATGTGAATGTAATTTATTTCATACATTTCGCATAAACAGAGAGATTATAAAGAGAAGCATAAAATCGAAGTGAAGTCAAGCGGAAAAGGTAAGTGGGTCAACTTCATATGGTGAAGCATGACTAAGTAATTATAGTCAGATAAAAATAGTAGGCAAAGTAAGCACAATACACGCAAATACACAAATAAAAGCAAATAATTGAATAACAACTCGGGCAGAATCGGTTTTCTTAGTATGTCAAAAAAACTCCAGACGAGTTATGTGGGCTCCACATATGAGTACAATTCATAAACCGGTATTTACAACATAATCCTGGCAACAACTTCGATCAAGAATATGTTAGGAAGGAAGAATGTATCTTTACTATCTCCTGATCATATTTTCAAACAGAATCCAATAATTTATTCTATACAAACAACACCATCAACTAAAACTTGGAAGCACTGAACTGTCGGTTCATCCAGGCATGGGACTTATCAACAATGAGCGTCCACGACCTCTACAAGCGAACGTTTATTCTCTAGACCACTAAGTTGGCCATTCATCAATAACAATCATGTACTCACTAGTGACTATTTTCCTGATATATTCCTGGAGTTCTAGAAAAAAACCTTGACCAGTAGAGTGTAATCCGTGTCAGGTAGGTGACAATTATTCATTGTAGGTAATGGATGAATGATATACAATATCATGGATTGATTGAAGTTGGTCATTAACACCACTGGATGCCGATTAAGTGGCCAAGACGTTAAACGTTCGCGATAGAACGAAGCCCCTGGGTTCGAGTGCTGTGTGCAGAGGTTGTGCATGATCGCTGCTGAAAAGTCCTACACTTGAAAGAACCGATCAACCAGTGCTTCCACGTTTCTAATGTTGGTCTAGCTTAGATCAGTTCATGATTTTAACTGCGAAAATAATACAGTCTTCGTTTAATGGAAATGACTTTTCCCAATCAGCAATCAATAATCACAATGAAATCGATCCAATTTGTTAACTAATCAGAAAAATCATAGACAAATAAAAGATCAAGAATTTAATCAAAGGGAGATACAATCACTATCAGATTAAACGTCAATAACAACCAGTCAAGATCGAGGTTGAAAGGATAAGCTAAAAGTCACTTCTGCTTGAAGGTTGTGCTGATTAATGCTGTTCACAAGAATAATGAAATCTTCAGAACCAAAGCATCCAGCTCAAACAACGAAACAGCACAATAATTTTTCTTCATATCAATATAACCTGTAAATTAATCTTCATGGATGACATCAACTTATGTGACTTGTGAACAAGTTATGTCTATGTTCAATTCTTGAAACCATGAATCGATCAATGTTAGACCACCATTAGAAACGTGGAAGCACTGGACGGCCGTTTCGTCCTGGTATGGGACTCCTCAGCAGTGCGCATCCACAACTCCTGAACCCCGCAGGACTCGAACCCAAGACCTTCGGTACTGTGCGCGAACGCCCTAACCGTTAGACCACTGATCGACTGATGGTTTCAAAAATGTGTAACATAACAATCTTCACAACCCCGTAATGCAAATGTTCAATTCATTATGTAATTATCCCAAAATTAGTAGAGAAGCAAGTTTCGTCCTGTTTCAGATTTGTCAGTTAAATGTACCTACTACTAAAGAGTTGTAATGATCACACTGAGCAGTGATTCCGACATTTTTCGCTTCAAACACTAACAAATTGTATATTGAAGCAAGTTATATAAAAATCCTGATTAACAATGATGTGAACCACTTGTTTTGGGGGAACTCTATGAATTCAATAGTTCAGTGTTATATCCAGCTGATAAATTTGGACGAAATAAGTGTATTGATTTCCATTGTTGACTATAACCAATCATTTCTAAACAAACCATGTGATTATTTTTAGTTTTTTATGAGAAATTCAATCACACATAAGAAGTAAAAATCAATTGATCAATAACTTTTTTCAGTCGATCATATGATTTGTTTTCTTTCCACACAAAAATAAATCAGATAGTTATCAATTACTTAATGAATCATGTACTGGTAATTAATTTTTTGGAAATTATAAATCGATCTTTTTTAAACCAGCATTAGAAACCGGAAGGCACTGGATGATTGGTTCGTCCTAATATTGAGACTCATCAACAGTACGCATCCACGACTCCCGTTACTCGCAGGAATCGAACCCAAGACATTCGGTCTCGTAAGTGAACACTTTACCTCTGGACCACTGAGTCAGCATCCAGTGGTGTTATTGTCTAAATCCCTGATATTACGCTATCATCTTCGATGAGTGACTACCTATATCCGACAGGGTTGAACTCTAATGGTCATAGCTTCTCAATAGAAAACTCCAGGAATTTCTTCATGAAGCTAGTCATTAGTGAGCATATTTTTATGATTTTTCATTATAGAGTTATGGAGCTTGTACAGTTTGATTGAAATTATGAATCGATTGTTATAATGTGATAGTCAATACTCTACATAACTCTATAATGGAAGAATAATTTTTTGTATTTTTAGGATCTCAGTATCTTATTATATCATAAGTGAATCATTTTTAAATTGTATTGATTCATCACTCTTATGTAAAAATAAAATGCTAATTAATAATGTTGTTCTTTTATTGTTCTGATATTGTAACGTATATGTTTTTGTTTATCAATTGAGATAAGTTAAAGTTTTGACTTTAAATTGTCCGTTGTGTTGTTACAAATTAGATGAAATATCAAACTTGACTATGCCAATTACAACATGAATTATTCAAGTTGTTATACATGGACTCGAGAGTAAGACAACGGTAAATACGTTCTCTGTGTTAGATGGTTAAAAGTGGTCGACAGGAAATCATGAACCCAAGTTTAGTGTTGTTTGATACTCAACAACAAAGCATACCTCTAGTCTTGATGAAAAAGATGCTCCTAAGTGGGTTCGAAATTGTGTCAATCATCTTTACAGGTTGAGTAGTTATCACCAAGCTAAAACGGTAGCGACTGACTTCTTGTAAGATTGAAGTATTCACAGTGAATTGATCACTGAGTGACTCAGGCTACTGAAAATTGTCAAACAGTATGTGACCTAGGTCCCGTCGACCAGCTCTAATGCAGATTTTGCATGCCTTTAGTAACAATGCATGTACTATTTATCTAATCCCTTTAACGCCAAATTATTGTCTTGAGAATAAGTCTGAATCAAGGCCTAACCAAATGTAGTACACAAGTTGAGCATGTTGTCAACTTCACTTAGTTTAGAAATCCAGCAATGCCTGATTAGGAGACAGCTGATCAAATCAGTCCATTACAACGTAGAACTTCGTACGTACGTACATAAGTTCAGGTTGCCATACCGCATTAGCAGCACAGAGACGCCACTGTCAGTTCAAATCCAATAGCGTCGGAGATAATAAGAAAATTACTGGTAATGGAGAATATTATGTATCGCTACCCACCACTGTTCGCGATCACTGCATGGGCTGGAGTTAATCTCGGAACCAATTTAAAATTCTTGTTGGGCTCTATTAATTGTAAAGCAGACAGACTAAGTCTACATATTAAATTGAGAATGGAGTGCGCGACACATTATATGTATATAGACATGCGTATATTACACGATCTTAATAAGGTAAGTCAATTGCCTTCCAACAGTCAATGGTCTATAGATTGTAGGGAAATTTGAGTTTAGGATACTAGAAAACAAGATCAATGAGAAGATGAAAAGTGCATCCATCTACATTTAGAAGAAAACAACACCGCTATATATGTGAGCTATCCACAAGGAACACTTTATTGGGACAACCTTCAAACACGTAATTCTTACTACTATCTTGTCTGACATAAAATAAGCTAAAAAAACAGTTCTATATATTTAGTTCGCTCTTTTTTTTATCTTAAAGAGAGCATTCTATTTCATATAGTTCTCATTAGCCTAATCTTTAAACCACTGAGTCAACATTTGTTGGGTTCTATTTGTAGCTACAAATCCGTGATATTTTTCACACATTTCAGTGTCATCGGTGGTTAAGCACCTCAAATCATAACTCCGGTAAAATACCTCTTAGAACTTGTACATCATTGAGTAGTCATATCGCATCACAAATAAAAAGCTATCCAGTGTTTCCTAGCTTTTAATGATTCTCTCTAAGGTCAGTCAGTGATATACGAACCACGAAACTACTAAACTGAATAAAACAAGACTTATCAACTATGAAATACATAACTAAACTTAATAAATTAAAGGGCAACAATATTTTCACGGGTTACCCAACATACAATTACGAAACAATATTCAGCACATACGAAGCAAAGTTACAGAATACAAACTAACTTCTTGACTGTCTTTCATCTCCATTCACACACAAACACACACACACACGCTACTTTCTCACAAAACAAAAAAAAACTAACCAACACAATGACAAAACTAAACTAAGCTGAAAATCTTTTTTTCTTTTCGAAAACTAATTTAAAAGCTGAAAAACAAAATGAATAGGGAGAAAAAATACTGCGTTTATTAATTGTTATGCTTTATTTTTGGACACCCATGTTCACAAATGAAATAATACAACATTCGGGGGGAGTCCTTTGAGTCGTTTTCTCCATGATTATTACAAGAAAACAATACTTAGCAAAATAATGATTGCAATAATAATCATAATAATAATGATCGTAAAGCGAATAGATTTTTTAATATTTTTTCATTAGAAAAAAAAACAAACAGTATGGAAAATAATTAGAAAATTAGAGATACAAAGATTATAAAACATAACTCCTGGTGGACAGAGCAGTGAACAACACCCCTGATTACATCGATCATTACATACATATACATAGATGAGTGTGTGTGTGTGTGTGCGGGTGAGTGAGGGAGGGAGGAATATATTAAAGAGATAATAAAGAATTACTGATCTGGATCACAGTCATGTTAGTCGGTTTGCAGGTTTTTCAAACAAGTACACGAGTGAAATGATGAAGATATAGATGAGTGAAAAAATGACACTACTAATACTACTACTATTACTACTAACATCAGAAAATATATTCAATATGTATTGCATATATATACGTTACATCACTACCATGTTCATGAATTAATACACTGTTTAGAATGGAAAAAAATTATTTAGCAGCACTGTAAGAAATACAAAAACAGGAAAGAAGAATAAAAACAATTTGTGTGTGTGCTTGTTTTTGCCTCAAAAAAATGATCATAATGAACAATACAAAAATTAAGGGTTGGTCCAAAGAAATTAAAATCAATCACAATGGTTGTATATGATGTATATATATATATATATATTGCTCCCAAAATAGTTATGAAATCCAGTAAGGGAGACAGATAAATATCTTTGTAATTTGTTTTTTTTTGAGTAGTGTAAAACAATCTTTTTTTATTAAAATAAAAAACTGATCCAAATCAAAAGAACAGCTTTAATAATTTCTAGGCGCTGAAGGAGCTACTCGATAAGGCACTAAAAATGAAGCGAGTGAGAGAGAGAGAGAGAAGAAGAGAAGTATAAAAAGGATGAAACAAGAAATCGCATATACAAAACTTAAATTGTATGAAAACAGTTATAAAACAAACTTAACGATCACCAACTAAACAGATATATATATATATATATATATATATATATATTCAAATCGACCTGATTGTTTGGATGAAACGTTGGAACTGTCTGGAAATTTCAATTGCTGGGATTTTTTCAAATATCAGCATCATTTCATGACACTTCATCAGATTTATTGGTCTTGAACATCAGTCAGTCAGTTACAATGTAGAACTTTGTACGTAAACACATCAGTTCAAGTTGCCATATCTTATTAGCACAGAGATATAATTGTCAATTCAAATCCCATAGTAGTATAGGTGGTAAAAGTATTAAAAGTAATCGGAGAGATTAGGGTTCGAAGATAATACTCAAGTACAATTCAGTGAGGTAAATTTAGAAAGAGAAAGATAGAGGTGATGAGGAATTCAGAAGGTTAAAATTTCACAGAACACAAATAGTGAATGCACCTGCGCTATTGCAAACGGTTTTGAGCCATGTTATTCACGGTCGATAACCATCGATTATTATCATCTCGCGGACCCCACCAGGTAGTCGATACCTACCGACATGGCTCAGTCCACCTGACAGTGACTTCATGGATTTGTTCCATGTTTTGGTCTGGCCACCCCTAGCTTTCGTCCAAGCTATTCCTATATCGTAAAACATAGATCGACGAGGCAGTTGGTGGTTAGGCATACGTAACACATGTCCTAACTACTTCAACTGATGAAGTTGTAAAACCCCATCAATTGATCTCAAATTCCTTACCTACTACTCGTTTCCTAATAACAGCATTGCTTACTCGGTTGTCCCAGGATATAAGAGCAATGCTTCAAAGATACCTGTGATCGAAAACCAGTAATCTACGAATGTCCTCTACTAAAACTGGCCATGTTGCACACCCATATAGTGGGACGGAGAGAACTGATGCGCAGTAGACTCGTCCTTTGGTTAGCGAACGAATATCTCGAACATCAATTCTTAAAAAATCACATGGTGAAAGTGTCGTATCTAAGAGCACGTCAATGACAAAGTTGAATTATAGAGATAATGGACAGAACTGACGAATACCACTCGAAGTAATCAATTTCGATGACAGTTCGCCATAAGCTCTCACTCCACCAGTGGTGTTCGTGTATAGACCTTGTACTAAGTTATGGTAAATCATTGGTACAGCTTTCAATGACAGACCTCCACAGAACCTCACGATCGACAGAGTCAAGAAATACAACCATAGTGGGAAGCCGAACCGTGTGTCAATGTTCCAGGACCTGACAAAGAATGAATATATGGTCCATACATCCACGTCTAGATCTGGACCCACCCTGATTTTCTCGAGTTTGCTTTCCACGAGCTTAAGTTAGGCAACGAAAAATTATGGAGGCTAACATTTTAGACACTACATTATTCAAACTGATACCTCTGTAATAGTCACAAGAGGTCTTTGCCTTTTCTTATAGACTGGGTTAGTCAGTAATTGAGATCAGTCGGATGGGATTACGTTCAGTTCCCGAATTTGACTTAATATCTCAGTCAGTGTAACTGCTAAAACTTGACAAGCATCCTCAAAAGCCTCAGAAGGCAATCAATCAGGGCCTGCTGCCCTTCCTCACTTCAGATTTCCTAACCTAATTTAGAGTCAGAGGACTTATATACACTTCCCATTCAGGTCGACTGGAGATCGTGGGTAACCGAAGTGCGGCTGAAGGCCAGTTGAATTGATACCTGAAGTGTTTTGCCCATCGATCCAATTTCCAGGATTGAGAATAATAGTTCCATCCTTTTCCGAGATAGTCTCACTAACAGTCGGATTCTCAATTCCAATTTCCTTAGTAAGTCTGAACAGTTCTCTATTATTGCTTATCGCAGCTGCCTTTCCCATCTCTCCTTTTTTCGCTCCCCACCACTGTTCACGACCAAAGCGTGCGCTTTATACCAGTCTGCGCTTAAGCTGACTACGTTGTTCATCTGTAGTGCCTCCACATTTATTTGTACCCGCTTACATTTAATTTGCTTAAGCCCTTACGATTAATTTCTTTAACCAAGACATTCGCTTAGCAACAACTTCTATGTACCATTGGCTTTTATAATTGAATGGTTTGTATGAGCTGGTATGACTGAGCATTGCTTAACGCCTACGCGCATATACATCTTATTCGCTTTAATATTAATCTCTTAAATACCACGATGACTCAGACATTTTCCTGTGTATATATACGAACATTTTAATCGTATTAATTCATTCGCCCATTCGCATATTCGCTCGCTAGTCTGTCTGTGGTCTGCTATCCTTATTGTGGTGTGCAACAATAAACGTATACGATACTTCGAATTCATCTTCTGATTTATTAACTGTCAGACGTCATTTAGTAACGACAATCTGAACGAGCTTATTACGAAACTTAAGAACACCTCAAATCGGCACACTACAAATTGGTAAGCCCGACGCTCCCAGGATTAATTTTCTGATATCGACGACAGACCGAAAACTACGACCACGAATCGAACGCGTCCGCAATATCACTGACAATAACTATTTCGATACGAATTACTATTGTGGATTAAATTAACATTGTGGATTATTGTCATTATCATATCCTTATTGCATGACAATTATTTCATAAACAGTATTTGACATATTTTGACAATATTACCAATTACGAATTACGTCACTATACATAAAACTGTTTTACTGCTGCACTTTAGTAAGTCTTTTCCGTGTTATAACCTTTCATTTATTGTTGTTAACATTATTATCGTCTATCTAATTTCCTCCCCTTATTTTTGTTAATTTATTTGCGTACTATAAATTGTACCTTAACATGTCTTCAGTTAACGAAACAAGTCTGCCACAAGTGGCGTCCGTGAGGTCCCTTAATATTGCTATTCCTCCGTTTAGTGTTGCCGACCCACAACTTTGGTTTATTAGACTTGAAAGTTACTTCTCAGTTAACCGTATTAGCTTGCAACGCGACAAATTCGGCCATGCATGTGCATTGCTTCCGGACGAAGTAGCAGACGCGGTACGCGACGTTCTCGACAAACCAGACACAGAAGCTCCGTACGACGTATTGAAAGCGGCTGTGGTAAAGGCCGTCTCGCTAAGTGACCAACAGGCTCTAGACCGACTTCTCAACCAAGTCGAACTAGGTGATAGGACTCCATCACAGCTAAAAAATTATATGAGAAGCATAATCGGCGACAGAAAGATAGACAGTAGCATATTTTACCAGTTATGGCTTCGTAGACTCCCTCCGGATGTGCAGCAGATACTCGCAGTTGGGGATAGCGATGCTGATATAGATCACATGGCAGAAATAGCCGACAGAAATTACGAAAGAACGGAAACATCGAATCCACAGGTACACCACACACCAATAAATGATTAAATCGAAGAGTTAAAAAAAATGATTAATATTTTACGCCAAAAGCTGACGAACCTGACTCGAAACGACAGACCACAAAGATGGTCACGAATTATTTCCAGTGATAGAAACCGATCACGCTCTAGGGAACGATCAGCTCACACAATATGTTGGTATCACCAGACGTACGGCAGTAGAGCTCAGAAGTGTAGACCGCCGTGCACATATAAAGCTCATACAATAGGGAAACGATCCCGTCGATCGTCGGTAACTGCTGCAACAACTGATGTAGCTCCTAAAAACAGTCGTTTATTTTACATCTAGGACAAGACAACAGGTGCTCAATTCTTAGTAGACACAGGAGCCGAAATAAGTGTTGTGCCGCCCGTTAGTAATGAACGACGAAATGTCAATACGGCGCTTACTTTGAAAGCAGCAAACAAATCTGACATAAAAACATACGGAAAGCGAAAAATAACTATAGATTTCGGCCGAAACATTTCACTTCGATGGGAATTTGTGATAGCAGACGTATCCGTACTTATAATCGGTATTGATTTCCTGAAGAATTTCGACTTATTAATAGATTCGAGACGAAAGCAGCTTTTGAGTAGAGACCGTTCATTGGTGATAAGAGGAATAAACACCGAACACGTTTCGATGAATTTAGTGGTCTCAAAAGTCCAAAGTAACGAAGAAACAGATGGATTATCAAGAGCAATGATTAACGCTCTCATCCACTCTGGAATCGATTATCACAAACTAGCCTCATCTCAAAACAACGATGTTGAGCTAAGCAGACTTAGGTCTACCAACGCGACCTCTTGGGTATTCAAATAAATTCCATTCAAAAAAATAATTATAACGTGCGAAATTTCTACCGGTCGATCACGACCGTTTATTCCGAAGCCGTTTAGACGAAAAGTTTTCGAAACTATGCATAATATATCACATCCTAGAATTAAGGCAACGATCAGCCTGATTAGCGACCGTTTCGTATGGCCAAATATGAACCGAGATGTTCGCAACTGGACACAGGCATATATTAAATGCCAGAAAGTTAAAGTTTATCATCATACAAGTTCCGCAGTAGGTCCTTTCCGTCACCCAGACAGCCGATTCGAGCACATACATATCGACATTGTGGGACCACCGCCAATTTCGAATGGCTTCAGATTCACGCGATGGCCTGCAGCGGTGCCCATAAAAGATATATCAGCAGAGACCATAGCTAAAACCTTAGTCGAACATTGGATCTCATATTATGGAGTGGCGACTAATATCACAACCGATAGAGGAGCCCAATTCGAAAGTCGCCTCTTTCAACAACTCACAGAGCTCCTCAGCATTAAACGTATACGCACAACCTCCTACCACCCGATGGCGAATGGTATAGTAGAGAGATTACATCGACAACTGAAAGCATCTCTTACAGCTGTTATTAACAACAATGACTGGGCCAACAAGCTTCCATTAGTCATATTGAGTTTAAGATCGACGGTTAAAAGAGACATAGGATGTTGCCCTGCAGAGTTAGTTTACGGAACTACCCTACGTCTACCAGGAGAGTTGTTCATCTCAGGTAAGATTGTTCCAACTGATATAACTAACTACGTACGTCGTCTAAAAGAACACATGAGCGATCTAAGAATAACGCTTCCGCAGGAGAATCAACATCGAGTATATATTCCGAAGCAACTAAGCGATACCACCCATGTATTTATAAGGAGAGATTTTGTGCGACGTCCCTTACAACCGACCTACGATGGTCCTTTTAAAGTTATTGACAGAAACGATAAAACTATTACAGTAGATAAAGCTGAAAAAACGGATGTAGTTAGCATCGACAGGGTCAAACCAGCTTTCATCGAAGGCGAAGAACAGCCAATAAACACAAACCCATCGGAAGCCATTGAATCACCGAAAAGCGAGCTTAAACCCTCTGAAGCAGCAACACTGAAAAGCGAAGGAAGTTCACCAACGACCAGATATGGACGAAGAGTCAGGTGGCCGCAAAGATATACAGCTACGATTTTGAACTAATAATTCGAACACATATTTTTTTTGCTTCGCATCTGTACGTCAAAAATTCTAATTTATCTATTATTGCCTTTGATACATTTAGTGTATTTCGAAATTGAGATGTAACCTAAAAACATTGCTATACTTTTGTCTGATCTTCTGTTCCTTTGCGACCTCACGAACGTATGCGAATAGGATAACTTTAACTTCCGAAACTTTTGATGTTTTCCGACAATTTCGATTTTTTTTCGCAAACAAAGACATTTTCGTAACTTTGTTTGCTGGAAGGGGGCTATTGTAGTGCCTCCACGTTTATTTGCACCCGCTTACATTTAATTTGCTTAAGCCCTTTCGATTAATTTCTTTAACCAAGACATTCGCTTAGCAACAACTTCTATGTACCATTGGCTTTTATAATTGAATGGTTTGTATGAGCTGGTATTGTGGTGTGAGCTACTTATAAGTAGTATATGACGTGAGTGTCAACGTAATGTCTGGCAGCATAATATGTGGGAAGATCAAGAAAGGAAGAGTTAGAAAACAATGGAATTTCTATGAAACGCATGAACAGTGACATTGGATTGATGTTTTGCAACAGGAACAGTCCAGTTCGATATGATGAACTGATATTTTGCAAATGAACGATTTACGATATGGTTTTCCAATTTTACTGAGTAACTCTGTAATTTCGCTAAATACAATTCGGTTGCCCCACCTGTGTTCTCATTCACTACAGTATGACTGAGCATTGCTTAACGCCTACGCGCATATACATCTTATTCGCTTTAATATTAATCTCTTAAATACCACGATGACTCAGACATTTTCCTGTGTATATATACGAACATTTTAATCGTATTAATTCATTCGCCCATTCGCATATTCGCTCGCTAGTCTGTCTGTGGTCTGCTATCCTTATTGTGGTGTGCAACAATAAACGTATACGATACTTCGAATTCATCTTCTGATTTATTAACTGTCAGACGTCATTTAGTAACGACAATCTGAACGAGCTTATTACGAAACTTAAGAACACCTCAAATCGGCACACAACACATCATCTTCGGAGCCAGATAGGATGAGTTTACGCGCATCTATCAGTTCGGTAGATGCTAATGAAATCCACTGCTTTCCCTTAACCTTAGGATTTTCGTTACTAGCAGATAATACTGCTTTCTTCACCGATTTTTAGATATCATTGCAAACTGTTTCAGGGTGGGCATCATATACATGGCTGCATAACTGTTTTTCCAGTTGCTCCTAAAAAATATTCGTAGCATTGCTATCATTAAGTAAAAAAATAAGGGGTTCCTTTAATGTCTCTTTCTTTTGTCCAGTAAGACGCAAACAAACATGCGCTTGCACTAGAGCATGATCTGAACCTAAATATGTGCTCCGAAACGAGCGACAGTTTTCTGCCGAGTCTCTCCGTCGGTGGCTCATAGCGATATGATCTAGTTTGGTCCAGCGTTGCGACGACTTTGGCGGTCGCCATGTCAAAAGATACTTTCCCTTGTGCTTAAAGTTATTATCTGTTATATACAGGCGTTTAGCTGAGCATAGCTGCAGCAGACAGTCGTCATTATCTGTTCTTTGAGCCACGACACCATAAGATCCACCAAGGTATCTTTACTTTTCACTTAGTCTACCTAATTGAGCATTGAAGTCACAAGCAACTATAACTGCATCAGTGTCTAAATTTTTGGAGGATGTCTGAAAGCTTCCCGTAAATCTTATCTTTTACCTCGTCACAGCTGCAGCCAATGGGAGCGTAGGCAGAGACAACAAACAGGCAACGGCGAGCGTCCCTATCTTTCCGAGTCCTTACTGTTCTGTTTAGCCGGACAGCGCATAAGCGACTATCTACTGGGATCCAGTCTAAGAAAGCTAGTTCTGCTCTAGGATTCAATGCTATACCTACACCGGCGAGGCTACAGGAAGCAGCAGCAGAGCTTCAAGATACAAGGGGCGTAAACCGAATTGGTTCTTTATTTGGACAAGATGAAGTCAAATCATTCACTGTGCTCGGATACTGTACGCGCGTTTCGGAGACAGAGCATACATCGATGCCGCGAGATTCTAAGGTCCTAGATAAGGAAGCTTGTTGTCGTATTTGACACAATATCCGGACATTAAAAGCTCCAACATATAGTTTTGGACGGGTTTTTAGGAGAACAGATATAATGTTTCGTGAACTTGAATCGTCCGCATTAACGGTGCGGAGTGATAAAGAAACGTGAGAAGGGTTAGTCGTAGAGACAACAGAGTTATTATAAGGTGTAGAAAGGATTTAATTGTGATCGATTTGGTCTCTTGTGCTGTTATGGCTACGAGGATGGGTGTCACTTCCCGGCTGCCTACACCGTGGAAGTGTCTTTCTTGAGGAACCTGGAAGGCAAGATGGATTAGCGATGGTCTTAGAGACCTGGGAGCGTGACCACAGAGCCCAATGGACAGTTGCTTGAAGCCGGTTACGTATGGCCTTCTTGTGAGAAGTTGCCAAAGTGTTAACTGCGCTCTTTAAGTGGCCTTACTGCATGAGAAGGAATTTCGTGAGGTAAGGTGAGTCGTGACATTTTTAGGGTCGACCTTTTCTAACCCTTCCTTCCTTGTGAGAAGGCGGCATCGCTGCAGATACTGGTTGTCCGAGGGAAATACCTTACTGCTATTAAACCCCTATACAGTCAGTAGTATGACTTCGCCCTCAGACCTTGAGTAGCTGCTTTTAGTCTCATTGTTCTCCAGTCGATCTTTCTGGCATGGTAGAACCTACAGGAACATATGTTGCAGACGATATAGCTCGTTTGGGTCATCACGATAAGCAAGCCTGACCACCACGTCAAGGTAGCAGCTATGGTCGGGGCCTTGAAAATAATTTAACAAATATCACCGTAGCAGCTTCTACACTGTCAACTACTTGTTGACGCTGACAGCTGATTAAGATGTGATGCTGTGGTATGAAATAATGTCGTACAGAACGAGCACCCGTTGGTTCTTCACAACTCTTTGGTTGGGATCCGAGAGATAGTACAACATAGTGGCTTTAGATGTTATCTGAAATATGTGGCTAAAAAATTGAAGCCAGTCACGATCCGATTGTAATTTTCTTTTACCGATCGAATTCAGAAAAAATTAATTTGTAAATAAATTTATAATAAAATGAAATATGGTTGAACTCATCATTTAAGCACATATCTATTATCAAAGCTTACTTTGATGATTGTGAATGCTGCTGATATTACTATTATTCATACTACTATTGTTAATACTACCAACACGATAACTTTTAGGACCTTGATATGATTTCGGTACAGGTAAATGACCAATATCATGAAAAGTGAAACGACTTTCAAAATTACGAACCAAATTAGCAATATTGTTGTTATTATTATTACTATTGTAATTATTCATTGAAGATAATGATGATGGTTGTTGAGAGAACGACGACGGTGGTGGCGGTGGCGGCGGTGTTGGATGTGCACGTGAATTCAGAGTGTGATTGATCGCATCACGCACAGCTGAAGGTAAGCACGGATTACCAATAGGTAGAGATGGTGAAGATGATTGATCAGTTATATTCCCATTGACATTTGATGAAATACGTATAACTTTAGTTGACTGACCAACAGGTATACCATTGACATCTGTATTTGTTGAACCAACCCGCTTTTAAAAACAAATTGATAACAAAAATTGCTTGTTTATAAGTGTCAACTTGTCAAGTCAAAAAATGTCAGCCACAAATTTAACGCAATTTATTATTACTACTATTATCGGTTACCGAACTAAATACAATACAAACAATAACGTAAAGTAACTGCGCACAAATGAAAACTATACTGGTGTACTGTTGGAGTATAGGAGAAAGGTATGATAGTGCACACCAATAAAGTGAAATGTTATTTTTCGACACCAATACCAGAAAATAAACAACCAACCAAGTAATAAAGCATACTGGTAAAGGAGACAAAAATCATTAAACAATTTGTTACATTTTTGTCATATTAGAAAGAATAAAATTTAGAAACCACATAGACATAGATATAGATTCGTACAAACAACTACCTACCTGATAACGATTTGAACTACTTGGTTTTCGTCGCGGAGAACGTCCAGATGGTGGGGGAGGTGCAGCAGGAGTACCATTCATATCATTAACAGTATTATTACCATTGCTAACATTATTATTATTATCATTATTTTCATGTATAGTCATCGTTTTTCCTAATTGATGAGAAGTTACTGGCGACGGATAAGTTGTTGATGACGATGATGATAATGATGTTGGTTTTGATGAAAGCATTACAACTTGTACTGGTGGTGGATTTGAAACAACAGATGGAGTTGATTGATTATTTTCACTAGATGATAAATTTTTAGAAAAATTGTACCTAGGATAGTTATTATCAAAAGAAGAATTAGAGTTTTTCTTTGTAATTGACGGTCTAGCAGGAGTTGGAGGAGCAATAGGTCTCGGTGTCGGTGCTGATGATCCATTACGAACAGCCTTCACACACAAATATAGACAGATAAATTAACTGAATAAATATACAACACATGCACATACAATCACATACGAAAAGAGCAAGTGAATTTTCAAAAACAAGACAATGGTGCATAGCTTATGTGAAGAGGAGAAAGATAGAAAGAAAAGATGTCAGCATACTTTTATCTTGTGTAATTAAATTAATTTTATTTAAGCAATAAAGCGTATTACAATGCAATACAAACTACCACTAGTTAGATAGTAAGGAATAAAAATCACATAGTACATTTCTTAAACTATACATAAATATATATCATTTTTTGTTACTATTATGAGATTATCAATGAAATGGTTAGATTGTGCTGGATTAGAAATATAATAGAATTATAAAAGCTTGCTTAGTGCAGTAGTAGTAGTGGTGAGTCTAATTTTAATTTTGCAGATGACAGATATCGGTCATAGAAATAGATGCTAAGTCTACAATTTTAAGAGGTCAGAGTTTAATGGAATATATGAATTAGTGCACGTTGCTTATATCACCAACTGACTTTTGTTAGATAATCATTAAAAACAAGAAAGCAATAAACAGAGGTTTTATCCTAGTGTAGGATTCTTCATTAGTGTTGATACATGACTGGACTTGGAATCGAAACCAAAACCTCCATATCGTTCAGGAGTCCTTAAACCTTTAAATCACTGAATCGCCATCAAATGGTTTGTGTGACATTGTGTTAATATCTCTCAATATCATCACTAATGGGAGACTTCTTTACATCCGACATGACTGAACCACAATAATTAAGGATTTTTGTGAGAATACCAAAGACTAAACTGTTGCTGTGAAAGCCCCAGTGTGTGATTCTAGGTAGGAATTTGGGCCAGAACTGCTGAAGAGTTTCATGTAAGGGCGAAACGGGTATCAATTGCCCCAAGATTTTCAATGAATTGCTAAGTCAAGGTCATTATGTGAAGCAAACTATAAAATTCAACAATCTGCACAGCTTCGTTATAATACTGATCATTAATTCGATCTGATACACTCTTAATCACCGCTATAAAATTCAGTAACTAAGAGGAAAATACACTCTTCCATTTGTTCTTAAAATTTAAAATTTAAACGTTCCACATTTATTAAATAATGTCCTTACTGGCCATGGTCCACAACCATACTGTAGGAGGAAGTGACCTGCTGCTCTTCAGTTGGTCGATGGATATCCACGCCATTAATGACGCAAGTTGGCAAAAGCCAATCTAGCTTTCTGTATCCGTGCTGAGATTTCGTCAGTCAAAAGTCCATCAGCACTAATGAGACTGTCAAGATAAGTGAAGCAGTCGACGCGCTCAACTACTTCACTCACTATCACTAGTTCAGGTGCATCAATGTGCAATACTGGGTGATATTAGGGGTGTGTAGTAACAGATCTAGAGGTATTCAGATTGAAACAAGGCATCAGTTATGGAAGTCATTAGATGATAAGGTAAGTTATGTTATAAAAGTACATAGTGCAAACTTAGTCGCATTGCATTACGTCTCTTTGTAAAATATCTTCTGGAATCGTCAGCACCTCTACCTTTGTCTTTCTAACCTTATCTCACTGAATTATACTTCTTGAAAAATATCTTCAAACCCTAGTCTTCTTCATTACCATTAATACCTCTACTATCTTTATCACTATGGGATATGATTTGACATTTGCGTCTCTGTGCTAATGTGGTATGGCAATATGAACTTAAGTACATTGGTACGAAATTCCACGTTGCAACTGACTGACTGAAAATATATTGAGTTTAATGCAATTTCTAACTTTTTATTTTTCAATCATATTTATTCATTTTTGAATTTGATTCTTCGTCATTGGTTTATCATCGCGATTAAAATTATTTCTTATCTTCTTATCTTATTTACCTATATTACTATGATGATCCGACATATGAGAGACAAAGAAATGGGGTTTGACTAAGAATGAAGTGATCGTATTTGTTGTTAGAGGTATGAAGGCAATTTTCGATTCCCGGTTGCCCATACTACGAATGGATATCGCTTGCCAAGAGACTCGTAAGGTGAACTGGGTTGATAAGGTTATTAACAACTTAGGAGCATGATTTCAGAATCAAAGAAGGACAACTACACGCACGGCTCTGTTCGAGTAGTTTCGGATCAGTAAGACAGACAGATACAACGCAGAACTTCGTACGTAAGTACATCAGTTCAGGTTGCCATGCCCCATCAGCACAGAGACGCAGCTGTCAGTTCAAATCCAAGGGTGATAGCGATAATAGAAGTATTAGCAGTAATGGAGAAGACTAGGGAGCGAAGATATGATTTGAGGAGTATAATTCAGTAAGTTTAGAAGGAGAAAGGTAGAGATTATGAGGAATGCAGAAGCTTAGAATTTCATAGAACATAAAGAGTGGATGCACCTGCGCCATTGCAAACGATTTTGAGCCATGTCTTTCAAGGTCTCTAACCATCGGTGACTATCGTCTCGCGGACCCCAACCAGGTAGCCTACATCTACCAACATGACTCAGTCCACTTGACACTGACTTCATGGATTTCTGCCATGTTTTAGTTTGGCCGCCCCTAGCTTTCTTCCAATCTCCTACACCACAAAAAATAGCTCTTAAAAGCAGTGGGTGGTTAGCCATACGTAACACATGTCCCAACCACCTCAACTGATGAAGTTTCACTACTTCATCTATTGATTTGCTATCCCTACCTAGAAATAGTTTCCTAACGACAGCATTGCTTATATGGTTCTCCCATGATACACGAACAATGCTTCAGAGACATCGATGATCGAAGACTAGTAACCTACAAAAGTCCTCTACTCGTAACGACCAAGTCTCGCATCCGTACAGTAGGACGGAGCGAACTGCTGCACAGTACACTCGTCCTTTGGTTAGCAAACGGATATCTCGCCCGCGCCATAGGTGACGCAGGTTGGCAAAAGCCAATCGAGCCTTCTGTATCCGTGCCGAGATTTCGTCAGTCACCAGGCCATCAGCACTGATGAGACTTCCCAGGTAAGTGAAGAGGTCTACACGTTCGACTACTTCACTCCCTATCACTAGTTCAGGTGCCGAAGAAATCCAATCTTGAAGCAACATTTTGCATTTCGAAGGGGAAAACCGCATCCCGAACATGCTCGCATTGTTGCTTAGGGTAGTCAGAAGACTCTGCATTTTGTAGGCTCCATGCTTTTAAGATCCTACTGCAACAAAACGGAAATCTGTGGGGCAAGATGAAGTGTAACATTGCTGGGACCAACGTTTCTTAACTGTTGTGAGAGGACAATATCGTAGTAGATGCGAGGTGTATGAACCGACAGAATCAATGACTAATTACAGTGTTCTATACTGCCATAAGGAAAAAAATTAAAAGTAATAAAACTAATCAAATTGCTTACTGTAGCATTATTATTCGCCGTTGGAGTTATACGATGATTTGTTTGATAAGTAGTTGAAGTTAGAGTTGTCGACGAAGATGAAGACAACGATGATGATGAAAAGTTATTCCGAGCTACAGATGATGTAGTCGGAGGCGGAGATGAAGGTGGAGGAGGAGGTGGTGGTGCATGACTTTTTATGTATCCATAACTAGACTGTTTTGTAGATACATTTTGCATTGCATTATTACGTGCAGCATCTAATGAACCGACAGATTTTAATTTTGGCACACCACCCGCAAAAGGATTTGGAAGACCAATAGGTGGACCAACAGGTGTTGGACCTGAAGCAGTGCTTTCATTAGTTCGATCTTGATAAGTGGGGAATAAGCAACAGAAACAGTGATAACAGAAAAATAAGAATATTTTCAATAAGAGTTTGTACAAGTTGACAATTTGTGAAGAAACAGTCAATCAAGTATGAATATCGATAATTGAGTATACAAATAATCACTGAGAATTGTTGGTTGTACATAATGAGGAATGTAAATCCGATGAAAATTAGTTCTCATGACACGGTGTGTCATAAAAATCTAGGCCGGTAGATGCAGGTTACTTGATTGGGTCTGTGGGATTATTTTGATTCGGAGATATATGACACATAATCAGTGGCAATTACCCGGGTGCATTCACCCTTGTTTACTTAGATATAAAAATTCCGAATCACCTCATAAATCCATTTTTCTTCACTGATTACATTTTTTTCGAGTCGTATCGCTTATATGAATAATACCGTTATTACTTCTGGGATTTACACTTGGACGATTGCACTACCTTGTTGTGCTAATTTGGCGTGGTAATTTGAACTAACGTATATATATATGTATATATATCAGGCCGTCAACCGATCAATCAGTTGCAACGAAGAACTTGGTACGTAGCTACATCAGTTCAATTCGCCACACCACATTAACACGGAGACAAGGAATTTTCAATCCAAATCGCATAGAAGAAAATATGTAAGCAGTATTATCGGTAATGGAAAAGATTAGGGATGAAATACGTAAGTCGAGACGTGTATCCCAGTAAGAAACGAAAGTGGGGAAAATTTGTGGCTGAAGTGGATAATTGTGGCGGAGTTTCATGCTCCGAGCTGGATAATTTGATTGCGGAGCTCTCATAGTTCCTCTGAACAACATCAGATCAGATTGTGGGTGTTCTACAGCTTGTTCCTTTCATTGATAACGAACCCAGGTAAATATGAGACAAAAGTACTAGAATTTATGATTGAGTGGGACAGAAAATGAATGCATATACGCTGTTGTGTAAAAGTCTGATTTACATCATTCTACACCGGCAACCACTAAATGCCATTATCACACAAGCCATAAGCAGGTTATCTGCATCTATTACCGTGACTCAGAACAACTGCTAATAAATTTATTTCACCACCTCCCACCAGTAAGCTACCTATCAATGCAGACGGCAACTGAGGAGATGTGTAAGACTGTTCGACTACTTCTTAGTAATATATTAGACATATTCTCTTTAACGCTAACTACTTATGTAGCTAGTTTACGACCCACAAAGTCACAGGACATTACATCCAGGACCCTAAAATCATCTCTTAGACTTATGTTTTGGAGTACAGAAAACGGTTATGTGACTTGAGTTATGCTCAACAGTATGCAAGACGTGAAGTCAACCATACGAAGCCATGCGAAATTTTCTGTTATGTTTCAGATTATGGCCTGTGACGGGAGTTTAGTGTGACATTGTTTTAATATTCATTCACTCATTTGACCCAACGGGATAGTTAAACGATCATATATTAGCCAATATTCTTACATCTGTAATCGATTACATTTTGAATGTGCAGGATAACAAGGTAGATACGACTACTGTTTTAAATAAGTCACTATTAAAAGTAATGACTATCTTTTGTGTCTAGCACAATCCTGTATACCTTTCGCAGATTACATCGGACGAGTGTAAAGAGGGCGATAGTAAAACACAAGAAAGTGGTAGTGAACTAACCTGTTGGCTTTGATGCTAAAGGAGCACTCCTATCCCTCTTTTCGGAATCTGGAACCTTTTTAAGAGATCGACCTGCCCTGATATCAGCCAGAAAAGCAGGACCTGAAGAGTCACATGCTTGTTTCGGAGGCGGTCCGTTAGATTTAAGCTGGGGAGGAGGGGGAGGAACAGACATCTCATCGACTCGCCGAATATATCAAAATTCCCAGGCAAGACAATCGAAACCACAAGGTCAAACGCTCAACCCACCGATACAAGAGCAAACAGTTAAAACAGTCCAATATCCAATATATTTTCCACAAGCTAGTATAAACCAGCTGATTTCTTTGAGCCCGATTCTCGTTCTTTTAAGACCGTTTCAGGTGATTGGTAGTGTCCAATGAATGGGATCTAGCCACTCGATTGTCTAATTCTAGTTACTTAGCAGTGGTTTGTGAGTTTGTATGTCCCGTGATTCGAATAAAAACGTTTGTTTCAGGGAAGTAGGGTTTCTGAATACCAGAAGCTACCACGAAACCAGGCCAGTGGTCAGTCAGTTGCAATCTGAATAATAATAAGAGAAAAATTCTGATGATAATAAGATTTCAGACCTAGGTAAATGAATAGAAAATTTAGTTTATTAATTGTTAGTGAAGAGTGAGAAAAGAACAAGGAAAACAGATGATAAACGAGTCAGATTAAGTTAGTTATCTGAGAAGATGTCAACAATAACGACAAGCATAGCTCAAGTGATGCATCAGGCACAGCTGGTCCACGAGGAAGATGTTGATTCATATGTGAGTACGTGATTATCAGGTCTCTTCTCGAAGTTGTTCACTGAGGGAGCTGTGGTCAACTCCGCTGGGAGAGCATTCCATGTTGCAACGACTCTTCATGAGGAAAAGTGTGCATGAATCTGAATATACATTTTCCTGTATGCGATTTTTCGAGGATTGCCTCGAGGAGAGTGATGGTGATGCATTAGTAAGGTGCTCATGGTTGAGTGTTTTGGTGTGCTTAATATATTGTACGTCATTATCAGATCACCTCTGATTCTCCTGTAACTCAGAGGTGAAGTTCCTAAGTACCGGAGTCTATCTTTGTATATTTCAAACTTCAACATCGTCACCCATTTTGTTGCTCGTCTTTGTACTCGATCCGAGGGATTTTGTCCCGTTTAGGGAAAGTGTGTGAGATGATGTTTTGAACCTCAACGTGTTAGCGCGTATATATTTTAAACAAAGTTAAGAATAATTCAGGGGTGATAGCACCAAGTTGTCTTCGCACAAGGCGAAGAGTTGAATCGGGTTTGGCTGCGTCCCCTATGTAGTTCAAACAGGTGTAGAGGTTTTCATTGGTTATTAAACCGAGATATCGCTCTGAGGAGACATTTGGGGGCGGGCTTCTGTTGAGGGTGTAAGTCGTTTGCATCATGTGGAGCAGAATGTACGGGACGTGAAATTTCGACTGGTTTAGTTTTAAACCAATTAGTACAGCGAATTTCTTGATTTAAGTTAGGTCCTACTGAAGCTAAGCTGAATTCACTTTAATTCTCAAGGACCTCCATATCTGTGCATCGTCGGAGTAGATTATTGTCGCTGAGCTTACTTTGTCCAACAGATCACTTATGAATATCAGGATGTGTAGTGGATCTAAGATAGTCCTGTGTGAAACTCCCGATGTTGAGAATCTCCGATTGACATGCACTGTATATACCGTGGCGGTTTCTGTGTCAGTGAAACCCATTTCTGTAACCTTTGTGATTAGGCGTGCGTGGGATTCTGTGTCGAAGGCTTTCGTAAAGTCGAAAAATATTATATGCAAAGGTGTCTTTCGGTCCAATCAGGATGTTCAACTGTCCCATGAGAAGATTAGATGCGCACTACCTGCTTTTCCGAAACCTGTGTTGAGCTTTATGAAGTATTTTCTTCTTATTCATGTACTCCCTCATCTGTTCGTTCACCAGCCCTTCCATTACCTTCGATAGCATTGGTAGTAATACCACTGGTCTGTAACAAGCTAGGTCCTTCCTATCTCCTTCTTTTAAGATTGAAGACAGAGTAACTTGCTTGGAGTTAATATGACCCTATTGAATGCCTTAACAGGTCATATGTAGGTCAACAAACAGCTTCAAGACTATGGGACGAAAATTGTCACAATTTGGTGACTTTCCTTGTTGTAAGCATTTTAGTTTCCTTAGTAATAAGTCAGGAGTAATATTGATATTCCTTAAGCCGTCAGCTGACACTGAGTTTGCGTAGTATTCTGAACATGTGGATGCCTGGTTTAACTGATCGGTGAGGTTTGTGTTGCGGTGAAGTCTTCTCCGTTCGGACCTTTGAAAACATACCAACAATGATTCGTAAGTTTATTGTCATGAACCTAAATAGATGCTTAGGGTTTGCCTGTATTTTGGCAGCTAGCTTCTCCCGAAAGTGTCTCCTATCACTTCAAACTTTGGTATTGCATCTGTTTCTCACTGCCAAGTAAGAACCATAATCAGAATACTTCAAAGAGACCTTCCGCTTGTGCCAGGCTCTCCTCTTCGCCTGCAGCAAGCGTTCAGTGTCGCGCCTAACCCATGTTCTTTTATTTCCGGATGTGTTGTGTGACCGAGGTACATTGTCTAGGACAGCCCTGTGGACGATGTTTCTCACTGTTTGCCTCCGCCACTCCCATGGTCATGGGGCATGTAGAGGGTTCTCTCATGCTCTTGTTATTTGCTCCAGTGTAGCAGAGATGGCGCTCGTTTTTGTGCTGTGTGAGTGTTCCTCTTATTACCATGTTTAACAAGACAGTACGTTGGTCACTAATTTCGACTGACGTGTGGACGTGAACATCCTCGAACAGTAGTTGATCATTTGTCCCTTGCTCTCACTGCTCAGTAAACCCAGAGCTTCTAATGACTGTGCCAAGTCGTCTTTGGAACCAGTCAATGTGAGTTGTACTCTGAATGCTGAGATTTAGAGATGGGGTGTTGAAATGTTCAGCTAAGAGTATTTGTTCAAACCCAAGGAGTGGAAGTCGCAGTATTGCCTAAGTAGATTTGTCTTTCTGGGTCTTCGTACCTGAGAGGAGCTGATGAATACCTTCAGTCACGTATTTCATGCCATTTGTGAAGAAACCACACCATCATGATTCTGTCATCTCAGTTGGTTAGGTGTCGAATACCTGTTTATGTATACAGCCACTCCGCCCCTTGTTTTGTCTGCCTTATTGCTTCGGAAGAGTGTCATGCCTTGCAAGCTCAGTGGTTCTTACGTCTTATTTTCGTTATGAAACTAAAGGGATGGAAATAGAAAGAATTAGGCTAAGAGCAGAACAAAAACTATTCCTGTTTAAAGCTGAGTCATGATTTGGAAGATAGTTTTCGGATAAATTGAGGGTATGATTACTAAGGCCATTCTTTTTCTGCGTTAGAATACTAACTGTACACCTGCAGTAATGTAGGTTAATGAAGAAAAATCACTAGAAAGATAACGAATGGGCAAATAATCTTAAGAATAGAGGAAGTTCAAAAGAACTAAATTGTTGGAAATAATGGTGATTCACAGAATAAAATAATGAAGGCACAATGATCTGATGCTTCCGTAATATATTATTTACCCTTTTTCTTTTTAACGCTGTAGCTCAAAAAGACATGGGTCAGCTGTTTTCACTATAATTGTCCATATCTGCTTGTAATAGGATTTCTCGGTAGGAAGGTAAACCAGTGCGAAGTTACAAACGTGACTCATAAACGTGGTTCACTTGGAAAAGTAACATCAATATCATTGACTGGGTAATTCCTGCTTTATCGTAAGGAGCCGTGAGGATACAAAATTTTATGCTGCTCAGACATGGATAAAGCGAAGTTATCGCCCCACCATCATAAATGATGGTCACATACACCATCCTGCCTCCTTTTGTGATGTTAGGCTCTCTTACGTTTAGTTGCAGATTTTAACTACTTTTTTGGTCTAAGACCTATTTTTCGTGCACCTTGTCGGAATACACTTTCATCTTATTTCTATGTTACAAGCACACTAGAAAACTTTGATTTCTGTATGTCAGGCTAAATATCTACGTAGCATAGCACACTGCTGTTAAATTGACCATGGTATAAATTGTAAAATTTGAGTCAGTTAATTGGTAGTTTGAAGATAGGAAGTAAAGGCAACTGACGAGAGAAAACGAGGAAAAATAGTGTTGATTTTCATGAGTAAGGCAATAAATAGGTAAGTAAGCAGTGTAAATGGATTTCTACGGTGGCCGTTCCAATGGGTTCCAATAGGTGCACTCCTGAACTCGTTTCTCCCAGTCCAAGTTTCCGATAAAGCAAAAATTCTAGGAGAAAGTGTCTGGAATTAATACACCTTCCAGGATACATTACTCCGAAGAGTATCAGAACAACGATAAATAAGTGACGTTAAGTCAACGGCTACTGTATCAATCCAAATATGGCTGTAGCCATTTAAAGATCAAATTTAAACAACATATATACAGATCAGAAGCAACAGAAAAACACTCAATATAAGTACAAAATATAGAAATAATAACAATATACAATGATAAAATCTCAAACTGGAATCAAATAAATACCACAAAATGTCAACAGAAAAAGTCCGTCATTGTCCATAACAAAAATATGTAAACATGGAGGGATTTTCCAAAAACCAAAACATTCAAAAAGGATTCTACCCCTGCCCGCAAGATCCCTCCATGCAATGAGCAAGCGTTAATGACACTTCTATTTAGGGTTCCCACTCATCCCCTAATCCACACGCGAAAGGACGTGTAGGACTTACAGCATACGCCTACCCGCC